TATATATATATATATATAAAATATTTATAAAATTATTCATTTTTTATATTATTTGATTAATTTATAAAATCTTTGTGAACCAAACTAAGATCTTGATCATTCCACCAAAGAGAAAGATTCATTCAGGGATCAGTGATTTTTTTTACCCCAGAAATGAAAAATACTAAGCAATGGATTGTACTGATTATTTGTATACATATTTATTTTTAGTGTATTTTATCGAACTGACTTGCGATCTGATCACCAGAAACAGATATTAATAAGAGGACTAAGAAAAATGAAATAAAATTTTATAAAAAATAAAATGTTTGTTTGCGCAAGCGGATTACACGCATAAATCCATGGATCTGCTGCAGTGAACACTGTGTGTGAGTGTGTTGTGTGTGTGTGTATTACCTGCCATGACGACAGGCTGTGTAGACTGATCCATCCTCACTTCCCACCACAAAGTTATTAACGTCACCCAGAGGGAAGGACATGGAGGTGACCGCAACGGATTTAGACTGCTTAAACACCAGCTCCATACTGTCCTGTTGACACACACACACACACACACACACACACATCAATAACACCACAGCCAACAGCCTCTTCCACAGATTAGAAATGCACAATTTAAATTCAGCCAGCACTCTACCCGTCATTAACATCTGACACTGTGGTTTGGCCAACGTTTTTGGAAACTCAAGGGTGAGCAGCATGGAAGAGGTTGTGGCTCTCAGTGGGCCTTTTATAGAGCTTCTGAAGCCAACAAACTCACGTCAGTAAGATTTGTACACAAAATCCACTCTTTTTACTGGTTGAGTTAGCAAGTGGCTTTCTTTGAGTGTGATATTCAAACTCTGAAACTATGATGGTACTTCTGAAGGTACAGGTCACGCGATGGATGGAGCAGAGAGCATTGTGGGTACCTGTGGTTGAGACAGCATGTCCAGACTCCAGGAGCACATCTTTCCATCAGTAGAGATGCTAATGAGGTTATGAGCGTTCTGTGTGCCAACCACATTAACACAGTACACTGGGTGCTGCACGGAGAATCAGAAATGTAAGGTTAAGGGTAAAAAATAATAAAGCAAATCGGAAAAATAAGCAATATTTTTTTAGGACACCATAATAGCATCTCAAAATTCTTGGGTTGCAGCAACTGCTCAGCCTCATTTTCAGTACGGCGTGTGAACGTCACGTACCGTGTGCGCCGCGGCAGAGAGAGGCGTCCTCTGGACAGGAGTGCGTCTGTTACTTCTGTTGTCCCACAGGACGATCTGTCCTGAATAAGTGCCACCGACAACCAGGTTAGGGTGAAACTTTGCAAACACAGCAGACATGACCGCAGACTAGAGGAGAGAGAGAGAGACAGACAGAGATAATCTCGATGAATTCCACATTCCTTCAATCCTGCTGGACAAATGTGAAGGAAGTCCAGTTTAGCAGATTCACATGCATAACCAAAAAGTGTTAGAAAAGAACTAACTAACACAGATAATGCTACAATCCATGTTTTTGCCTACTCACTGAAATTGCCAGCTAATATGATGCTTCTTGTTTAAAGTGTTTGTGTATTTAAAGGGATAGATGATCCAAAAATGAACATTTTGTCATCAATTATGCACCCCATGTTGTTTCAGACTTACAAGATTTTCATTTATCTCCAAAGATCCAAAGATATTTATAATGAAACCTTAAAATTTCATTCCAAGCTTTGATGCTTCAAAAAATTAATAAAAGTAATCCATATGAATCAAGCGGTTGCATCCAAGTCTTCTGAAGAGATACAATTGCTTTATTTGATGAACGTATTTAATTTAGACTTATATTCACACATAAACATTGAGAAACTCACATACATAGAGCTCATCAAATATGGTAAACATCTGTATTTGCATGACACACAAGAAGAACCTAATTGGTTCTTGCGGAAACACAAGCTTGAGTCACATCCAAACACAAACCTCTTGTGCATCAAGCAAGTAAAGTTTCCCTAAAAGACCTTTCTTTTACAATCTCTCTATGATTTATGAAGTATGAAAGTTTTGGTGGAATGGGCTTTCAATGGAGGAACAGAAATCTTTCAGGTTATATTAAAAATCTCTTAATTTGTGTTTTGTGGATGAATTAAAGTTTTATGGGTTTGGAACGACATGAAGGTGAGCAAATGATGACAATTTTCTAGGGATGCACGATATTATCGGAACGTTATCGGAATCGGCCGATAATGGCTTTAAATGTACACATTTTAAATTTTATGCCGAAAAATAATGCCGATATGCCTTGCCGATATTACGAATAGTTTACATGTGCTCAGGATGTACTAGCGATAAGATCAAGTCAGAAGTGTGGTCATTCTTGAAGCAAACTCTTGCCTGAGTGGATGACGATTAGATTCACTGTTTTGAAGTTAACAGTTACCAGTGCGTGCAGCAGCAGCGGCAGCCTCCCCCGGGTCCTAATGTGCCTCCGGTAAGGCGTTTTATTTATTTAGGGGGCGCTGTAGGCCGACTTGTAATAAAATGAATCAGAATCAGAAAGAGCTTTATTGCCAAGTATGTTTGCACATACAAGGAATTTGTTCTGGTGACAGAAGCATCCTCTGCAGTCTTCTAATGTCTGATTTTGTAGCTGAGCCAAACCAGACAGTTACTGAAGTGCACAGCACAGACTCAGTGACAGCGGAGTAGAACTGTGTGAGCAGCTCCTGTGGCAGGTTGAACTTCCTCAGCTGGTGAAGGAAGTACAATCTCTGTTGGGCCTGTGAGTGTCCCACTTCAGGTCCTGTGAGATGGTGGTGCCCAACTCAACCTCGCTTCTATATGCAGACTCATCAATGTCCTGGATGAGGCCGATGACTGTAGTGTTGTCTGCAAACTTCAGGAGCTTGACAGAGGGGTCTTTAGAGGTGCAGTCATTGCTGTAGAGGGAGAAGAGCAGTGGGGAGAGCACACATCCCTGAGGGGCGCCAGTGCTGATGGTGCAGCTGTTTGACATGAATCTGTCAGAAAGTTGGTGATCCATTTAAAGATGGAGCTAGGAACAGAGAGCTGGGTTAGTTTGGTCTGAAGGAGGTTTGGGATGATGGTGTTGAAGAGCGAACTGAAGTCCACAAACAGGATCCTCACATAAGTCCCTGATTTATCCAGATGTTGTAGAATATAATGCAGTCCCATGATGGACCGGTTTGCTCGGTAAGCAAACTGCAGGGGATCCAGTGATGCAATTCAGATAAGCCAACACCAGTCTCTCAAACAACTTCATGACCACAGATGTTAGGGAAACAGGTCTGTGGTCATTAAGTGCTGTGATTTTGGGTTTCTTTGGGATGGGGATGATGGTGGAGCGTTTGAAGCAGGCTTCATGAGCTTCAGTGATCTGTCGAAGATCTGTGTGAAGATGTGGGCCAGCTGGTCAGCACAGGTTTTCAGGCAGGCTGGTGAAACACCGTCTGGGCCTGGTGCTTTTCTTCTCTTCTGTTTCCTGAAGACCTGACGCACATCATCTTCACTGATCTGAAGTGCAGGAGGGGGGAGAGGGGGGTTGCTGGAGTTATTAATGTTTGTGTAGAGAGATGGTCAGAGCGGGTGTGGGGTGTGAGACCGGGAGTTTCAAATCTGCAGTAAAACTCATTAATTCTCCACAGTGCTGGGGGATGGTGTCTTGTAGTTTGTAATGTCTTTCAGGCCTTTCCACACTGAAGCAGGGTCGTTTGCTGAAAACTGGGTTCTCAGCTTTTTAGAGTAGCTCCTCTCAGCCACACTAATCTCCTTTGTCAGTGTGTTCCTGGCCTGATTGTACAAGATTCTGTCCCCACTCCTGTAGGCATCCTCTGTGGCCTGACGGAGCTGTCTGAGTTTTGCAGAAACACGGTTTGTCATTGTTGTACGTTAAATAAGTCCTGGTAGGACTCACAGAAACTGATGTATGATGTTACAGTCTCTGTGAGCTCGTCCAGATCGGTGTCAGCAGCTTCAAAAACACTCCAATCAGAGCAGACGAAGCAGACTTGTAAATCCCGCTCTGCTTCATTAGTCCATCTTTTTACAGTCCTTATTACAGGTTTAGCTGATTTCAGTTCCTGCCTGAAAAGTAAAGTTTCTTTCTGAAAAGTAAAATACACAAATAACATGAAGATACTTGTGTTTCTAATAAAAAATTTGCTTTGATTTAAAGGTCAAAAGCTTACATAAAAAAAAGAAATCACAAACATGATATTTTTAAATTAAATAATTTAATATATACCGATTTATTCATTAATATGTAATATATTTTTATTATGAAAACTTTAATGCTAGGAGCTCTAAATGATTTTTAGAATTTATACAGCTCTTTTGCTTTAGACGATTAATGTTAAGTCCACAAACAAAATGTTAAGGTTTCAACTGCATCTGTCTAAAAAATGAATTAATAAAAAAAAAAATTTAAATTATTAAAAAAAAAAACAGCAGAGATTGATTTTATTAGTTATTTTCAAAGCTTTCAATGTACTCTCATTAAAAAAAGCACCTTAATAATGTTTATCAGTTCTAACAAATACATTTTTGCTCAAAACGAACCAAAAATAAAAAAATTATTTGTTTATAATTTCTGCACAAGAGGGACTTCTTGTTGTTTCAAAACAAAAGGAAATATATATCGGTATCGGCATCGGCTATTGGTCAAAATGATGTGAAAAATATCGGCATATCAGATAGAGGCAAAAATCTAATATCATGCATCCCTGGAATTTTATTTTTTTGGGTGAACTACGTCTTTAAGTATTTCTTCACTTTGCTTTAAACACAGAATAAAGTGTCCAAATAATATACTGTATAGAATATAAAAATATAAAACTTTGAGTTTTATTAAAACGATTTTTGCTTAGCTCATTTATTTTATACTATTTGAAAATGGGGGAGGTAGTAAAGTAACCAAGTAAAGTTTGACAAGTGACTTCACACTGCTGCTTCTCAGTGGTTCAGCTGATATTTTCTCAGCATGTTCTGTACCTTCTTGTTTTGGAGAATAGTTTGTAAGCAAAGCTACATTATAAAAGCCTCTGAGGTGCATCAAGCATAAATGCATCTTGTAACTGAGTGATGTGACCTCAAATTCCACCATGACACCTCAAAACACCAATCCAATGTACATCACAAAACAACAAAATAAAATTTTTACACCAACAACAACTAATGACGCTGATACTGAATTTTGTTATTCACTGAATAAGCTGAACAACTCACACTTTCCTCTAAGAAGAGTTAACCAGCCCCAACACACTCAGCAGAAAGATGGAAAAAGTAACAAGTTCACACCTCTGTGAGTGTGTGTGAACACTTGTGTAGTTTTCCGCATCTGTCTGTGTGTGTGTGTGTGTGTGTGTGTGTGAGCTGTGCATCCGTTGCTGAGGGCGGCACATGTGGTTCTACTCAGGTCGTCCACAGCAGATCACCTCAGGCCAAACACACAACTAACACTGAACATACAGCAACACTCAACTGATCAGTGAAAAAAACATCCAAAAGAAATGAGTTTGTGAATGAATGTGCATGTCCAACACAGAGTTTAAAGGAATAGTATCATAAATGAACATCTCATCATCCTTTAACTCCCTCACCCAATGTTGTTCTAAACCTGTATGACATTCATTCTTTCATGGAACACAAAAGGAGATATCAGACAGTTCACATGCTGTTTTTTTTCTCCATACAATGACATTTTATACTTTTACAGATATGACCACTATATGCTTTTATTGCATGGAAAAGAGAAGTTTGAACAGTCTTCAAAACCTCTTCTTTTGTGATCCATGCAAGGAAAAAGTAATGGCTTTGTGATGACATGAGAGATTTTGAACTATGCCTTTAAGGTATCACAAGTGTGTGTGTGTGTGTGTGTGAGGCCGGTGTGTAGGTGTTTGTATATGACAATCATGTTATGTGGGATGGCTTTCAGGAGGTGTGTGCACGGGGAGGAGTGAGAAGTCAGTCGTTGCTGATTGAAGGCAGGTGGGTGTGTGTGTGTACCTGACAGTGGAAGACATACTCCGGTGTGGTCTTCTTGTATTTCATGTTCCAGACCAAAGCCACTCCATCAGGCTCATGCGGGGCTTCCTCATTGTTGTTGTAAGAGGCGACCAGCAACTCTGGATACTGTGAACACATGTACAGGTCAGGAGAACTAGACGTTTACTATCTAAGAAAAACTTTTGCTTTCCCGCATTAGGTTTGATTACTCTGACCAAGAACCACCCGCTTACATTTACTTATTTATTTTTACTTTTTTGTGCTGACTGTAACAAATGTGCACAGAAAAAAAAGCAAAATAACTGTCATAGGGACAAAATTTTATTTAAAGAAAAAATTATTTTAATATTTATTATTTCACACTTTAGTTCGGGGACCAATTCTCACTATTAATTAACAGCTTTTTCTTCAATAAACTCCTCATTTGCTGCTTATTAACAGTTAGTAGTTATGCTTCGGTATTGGGTAAGATTAAGGGATCTAGAATATGGTCATTCAGAATAAGGCATTAATATGTGCTTTATAAGTACTAATAAACAGCCAAAATGTAATATGCATGCTAATGAGCAACTAGTTAATAGTGAGAATTAATCCCTAAGCTAAAGTGTTACCTTGAATACTATATAATAATATATAATACTTAATAATAATAATAATAATAATTCAAAATACAAACTAAATGCTACCATAGTAGTAGTTGTACCCAAAAAGAGAAAAAAAAAGCTATTATCATTTACTTTGTCTTTACTTATCATAAACATATATGACTATGACTACATAAAAATAATAGACAACCCCTGTGCTATATTCAGACTGAAACGCAAGTCATATATGCTTGGAATGACATGTTGGTGAGCAAAAGATGACATTTTTGGTAAAAAAGCATAGCTTTTCCAGAAAGAAAGCTATTTTTTCCAAAAAGCTGAGGAGTAATATGACAGTGTTTTTAATTCATTCTTATAAATTAAGACATTTTTTTGTTTCATTTGTGGTATTTAATGTAAATTTAAGCATTCAGGTTTGATGCTGTAACCCACTGAGACCCTTATTTAAACTGTTATTCAATAAACAGCAATACTGAAAAACAAATGTTAGTAGTGTAGCTATTTTTCAAAAGGGTAATCTGACTGAATTTTAAATTCTAAATTGTAACATGTCATTTTTTGATCATTTATATACTTTCTCATGTCCTAGTATCATATGCAGGGACAATTAATACGGCTACAATGCCGTAAAGTATCCGATGAGCCACTAATTGCATGACGCCAGGAGATTTCTCATGTAAACTCACACTGACAGCATTGTTTCAGTGTGTGGTTTGTGCTCTCTCTCAAATCACACACATCTGTTTGTGTTGTGCACACATGAGGTGCAGTGCGTTTGAGAGGGTTTATACTCTAGATCTATTACATCAAACTAGACACAGCGACTCCAAGACATCCAATCATCTGTTTGATACGGCGAAAGAAATGAACTTTGAAAAACACCTCTAAACACACAGCCAATGTGAAATATCTTCACATTCATATCTAAATGTTATATTCTACAACATCAGAAGCATGTTCACCAGAAGAGATTTGTGTTTTTAGAGGATCAGTGTTATCTTCAACATTTGTCAGTTGCAGACAAATAAGCAGCAGTTTTGATAAATCGTAAAACTAACATATTGACAAAATATATAATTCAATCTTCACTTGATCCACGCCTAATTTCATGTGCTACGTCATATTATACACTACCGCTCAAAAGTTTCGAGACAGTACAATTTTTAAATGTTTTTGAAAGAAGTCTCCTATGACCGAGGCTGCATTTATTTGATCACAAACACAGAAATAACAGTAATATTGTGAAATATTATTATTATTATTATATTTAAAATAACAGTTTTCTATTGCAATTTATATTTTAAACTGTAATTTATTCCTGTGATCAAAGCTGAATTTTCAGCATCATTACTCCAGTCTTCAGTGTCACATGATCCTTCAGAAATCAGGAGGTAACGTACCTGTGGGGACCAATCCAGACAGGTCACCACCCGCTGTTTGGACCAGTGATCATCAACAAACTTCCTGTTTAGAGACAGTTTGGTCCCAGCCTGCATCTCACTAGATAGATACACACACACACACACACACACACACACACACACGCGCACGCACACGCGCACACACACGCACACACACAAGCAAATATCTCACATTAAACAGTGCACATGAGCTGGTTTGTGATTAGTGATTGTTGGTTATTGTTGGTTGTGATTGTTTAGGTTAGTAGGGCTAACTGTTACCCCTCCTTCTCCTCCATGTCACGGCCGCTGTAGTCGAAGAAAACATCCACGTGTTCGGACAGAGCGCGCTCCATGAAACGTGTGCTGTGATCGAAGAACTCCATGAACTCCTCCGAGTGCAGAATCTGCAGCTTCTCCTCCTCTGTTAGCTCATGAGGGGGCGCTACACTCACGTACAGACAGGACACAATGACAGGTGTGTAACATTTATACATGAGATCCATTTATACATGAGAATTGTTGAATTCTTGATTCTAGTGGTTGACAAATATTCCAAAGTATTTAATTAAATAGTGTTTAATTTTCCGTAACAGCATGGCTGTGAAGCAGTTCCAGGTTTGTTCCAGTCAATCCAGTATTGAGCCATGCAAAACTGTAGGAAATTGTAGGAAAGTAAATCTACACAAAAGATTTTGAAAATTGTCTAAACGCATGCATATAGCAAGGAGCAACTGTGGAAAAATTTATTCTGAACCACTAAACTATTTGAAAATGTAATGCATGCTCTGGGAAGAAACATGTTGAAGCAGGTGCATTAAACTGTCAATATTTCAATGATCTGTTGTGATTTTTTTCCTTACATAAAGTTCCCAGCTTGTGTTACCATTACACCAACATTAATTTCTGTGACAAACACTGCGAATAGTCAGAACTTCTATGAAATGCCTACTTCAATCATGAATAATATAACATCAACAAGTTTGTTAGTTAAACAGGCAAATATATAAATGGTTAAAAACATAAAAAAATAAAAAAACATTTGGGGGAAAAAAAATGTATCTGCCAAGGCAACATTTCTCATTTTCATGTAGTTGAAATTGAAATACTAAAAAGACTGAAACCATCAAAAAAAATATATATATTGACAAACACAAAATTACTAAAACCACATCTGAAATGAAAACAGGAAATCTAAAAATTTAATTAAAATTATTAACAAAAACTATGACAGTAAATCAATGATACTAAAGTAACACTAATGTATTACAGTGGAGCTGATAGGACACTGTACATGAGGTGTGTTCAATACCTTCCTCATCTTGTTTCTCTGCTGGTTTCTCTTTCTCTGCCTCGACCTCAGGCTGCAGGGGTGCAGTCTCTTCCTCCTCATCTTCCTCTGCAATAGGAAGATCCCAAACATCAACATAATTCACATCAGAGCTGCAGTACGGTCTTATTATAGGACCCATGTTTCACACTGTTCATACTTTACACTGGGTTAAGTTTGTTTTTTTTTGTAAACGGTGGGTTAACTGGTATTAAACAACTCAAGGTAACATTGCAGCACTGCTTTCCTTCAAATTGCATACTTTTGGCACCACAACTCAGGATTAGCAACACCCACATTTACATACCAACATCTACTCAGTGTTCAGCAACTTAGCCTAAGGACAATATGAACTATACTGCATAAAGTCAGCCAATCATAACAGAGGTCATTAACATATGTAAATGACCTCTTAAAGGCACAGTAGCAGTAGCTTTTCAATTCTAGGGTCAGACAGTGTGATAAACGTCATGAAAAATTTAAACTAAAAAGGTTTTTGGTGCAAGAAACTTGAGACTTCATGAGAAAAATACCACTGTATTTCAAGTATTCAGGGTGATACATACAATCACACACACACACACACACACACACACACACACACACACACACACACT